GGGAGGCAGAACTTGCTCTTTGTTTGAGTTACTACGGCGTGCAGAGATGATAGACAAAGTCAATGGACTGTATGAGCCGCAGCCGGTCATGGTCAACAGCTAAGCATGAAGGCACTGACAGATTGACTGAGGTCAGAGGAAGAGAGGGAAGAGAGGAGAGCAACGAGAAAGCTTTTCCAGACATCAAGACAAAAACAATATTCAATACTCTTACATTAATGTTTTCTTTGTGCGTGTTAAAGGTCTTACACTCAGTTATCACTTATCGCTGCAGTTCCTCTTCAGGTTTTCGTAGCGTTTCTGCATCTTTCAGCTAATTGTTTTAGTCTTGCGGCTTTACGGTTTTGGTTCACTTTTACAGCTCTCATCAGCTTCACTTCACAGGATGCAGCTCCGTGAAGCCCACTGAAAAAAAAACAAGCATACAGAGAAAGTTAGCAACTAGCTCAGGAACCTACATGAGCCACAATATTAAAACCACCTGCCTGATGTTGTATAGGGCCTTGAAATACCACCAAAGCAGTTCTGACCCTGTAATGGACATGGGTCAGAGCTGGGTGTTCCGTTTTGCCTGGATGCACCGTGAAGTTGGCATTGGATCCTTTGCGTCCTGTGGGTTGCAGAGTCTGGTTTAGGCTTGTTTTGGCCCCCATGGATGCTAGATCAAATTGATATCTACAGAGTTTAGAGTCTGGGTCAATGCCTTGGGCTCTTTGTCGTGTTCCTGAGGAGTTTGCATTGTGGCAGGATGCATTGTCCTGCAGGGGGGGGAGGCTGCTGGCGTCTGGGAGTGCTGTTGCCATGGTGGGAGGGGGGTGTGCGCTTGGTCAGCAACAATGTTTAGGTAGGTGGTACGTGTCAAAGTAACAGCCACATGAATGCCACCAGCCAAAGTTTCCCAGCACAACATTGAATTGTAACGAGATGATCAATGGTTTTCACTTCACCTGTCAGCGGTTTTATTGTTGTGGCTGATGAGCGTAGTGGATCATTTAGGAGCTTTTTAGAGCCGAGTACTTCCCAGGAAGCTGGTGGGTATCAAACAGGACAACAATCAGGGGATACAATCACCATAAATCCAAATAAGCAATAATATGTGTTTTGAGTGGCCAAATAATAAATTGTTTGCAACGTGTATTTCAAAAGAAGTCTGTCCACTCTGTTTTCTCTGCTCTCATGTGGCCAAAAAACTAGCTAATGAAAGTTTAAGAATCTATTTCACAGGCTTTGTGTAACACAAAGCATCTTGCTGTATTTGAACATTTTTTTTTCCTTTTTTCCTTTTTTGCATGTTTGACATCTGAGCCGTTCTCAGGTTTCACTCAGATTCATGGGCTGGTGTTAGGGATGCTCTGTCAACGTGAGGAATGCCTCGACTGCTACATTTCCCAACAGGGACGCACTCTTTCTGCCAAACATGCACCTGCACGAACAGATCCCTGAGAGACACAAAAGATCACCTCATCACCAGCATGAAGAATATCAGCAGTGACAAAAAACTGGCTCAAACACCCGAGACAACATTCAAGAAATGGCTGCCAAACCTTTCATCCGCTCCTCCTCGCGCGTCCTGCTTTCAGCCTCACTCACACGAAGGCCCTTCTTCATTTGAAAGATAATTGTAAATGAATAAATAATTGAGTGAAAAATGAGGTTGCAGGAGGAATGTGAGGGAGTAAAAAAAAAATGCACGAGGGAGCCTCAGAGCAGGAGGGGAGGTCGGCTGGTAACAATGTGGTTGAGAAAGGGTTTGAGAGGGACCCTCTGAATGGACATTTGCACGAAAATAGACTGTGCCTGTCAGACCCACCGCCATGACGCAGGGCTAGACTACAATGGAAGTAGCAGTCTTTTGGAATAAGTCTTGGAATCTTTCTTCCCCCTGTTTTCCTTTAGCTTTTCTCATGCACACAACCACCCACCATACTTGCTCTTTTGCATCTTTGCAAACCGGTTTCCTCTTAACCTTTTTAGAGATCCCTACCTCGTGATTGTTTTGTTTATTCTGCATGTAACTGGCCTTTTCTGTAGCACTTTAAGAGAGTAGCTCAATATGCTCTTCAAAACTGTGCTTGACTAATAAAAAAATAAAAACTCTATCTAAACAATGTCTGGGTGTTTTTGTTTTTTTGAGCACACAAAAGGAGAAGATTCTGCACCCCGTGGAGTCCTGGGAACTTTGATGAAGACAAATCGATTTGACTTAGCCTAAATCCTTTAATCTAACAAATTTGTGTAATAGAGAGTTTTACAGTCTGCACAAGACCACACACCTTTGACATTTCGAGTTTCAGTTCAGAAGAAGAACAACAAAAAAGAACAAATAGTGCAAAAGAATGGCGGCCTCCCCTTTAGAACTGCAGGAGCAAGATGCAAACACAACACTAATATATGTCATCAAAGTTTTCTTTTTCGCAAACAGACAGGCACAATTAGCGGATAAGGAGCAACATTTTGCATGCAGATCTTTCTGATTCCTGTTGCTGACTTTCTTGTTCATTTGTTCCCTGACAGGTACAGTATAGCATGTCGAGTTTAGCAAAACTCATTTACCCGACACAGAAGCTGATGTTTCTACAAGCAACCATTTTCAAATGCAACATTGATTCTTGCAGCTTGAGGAGAACAAAAGAGATTTCAAAAAAGCAAGTCGAAACATATAATCGTCAGTAACTGTGTGGCTTAAGTTAATTTCATTTGCCCCTACCACACTCAATGCTGTTTGGTTGCAGCTTTTTTCTTGTTGTTGTGTCTTTATACTTGTTCCTCGGCATCATTTAAAATGCATTTCAAGTAAATCTAGTCATTCCAATAAGATCCTTACTGTGTGCTTTTTTTGTTTCTTGTGGAAAGTCCATGGGCTTTACTGGTCTTTCCTCAAACACTACACAGACACACACTTAAACACACATTCACCCCTGCTGTTCCCACTCCGGCCTCCCTGTGAATGAGGACTGCAGAACAGAGGTTGGCAGCGGTCTTCAGGACTACGGATGCTTATCAGAAAGGCTTACAAATCCCCCCCGATGCTCCTGATATGGAGGACAATGGGTATGCGTGCGTAGTGGGAGCTCTCTTTAAAGCCTCATTGAAACTTGACTTCACTTCTTTGCTCTTTAATGAGGTCAGAGTAGCCTGCTGGCTGTATTTCATCACTGAGTACAAGGCATACAGTCATAATAAACTTTAGTTGGGTGACCTGTACAAGTCAGCGATATCGCCTTCTTATGAAAGCATGCTGGACACACTGTACCTGGTTAAGTCAATATTTCACTCATTGAACATGACATCAAAAGACGGAATTTCCTCTCGGCTCAATCAAAGTATATTATCATGATTCGTCAAAGCAAACATCGTCCATCAGTGCATTCCGACAACAAATGCCACAGTTTCTGCTCCTTTTTGTCATCCTGTCTTTGTACTGAACTTGGGGTTAATTGCCCTGGTGGGAGCAGCTGTGAGGCCACCAGAGTTGCAGGTGAGCTTTCAGTAAACACATGAGCCTCCCACGCAGCTTTGTCCTGCGTCCAAAGAATGTTCATGCATTGAGACTGAATAAGGCTCAAACAATATAGAAACAACAAATTGGTGTCGTTTAAGGACAAGGATCACATTGCTAAAAAAAATTACTTCTTCCAGCCCAAATTTGGTCTGACTGATGAAAATGGTTCTAAATACCAGAAAATGGCATTGGATCGAACCAGAGACTCAACCGTCGGAGGGTGTTTTCAGTTTCCACTGTCGTTGAATGTTGGGTTTAACCCGTTTGTTGGTTTCGGGTGGAAGCAGACACTGTGGATGTGGTTTACTGGATGTCTGAAACTTGGTTTCATTTTGAGGTAACCGGGTGGGGCGTTGTAGGGATCTGCCCTGTGGTTTAATTTGAATATTTTTTCTGTATATTAGACTTGTTATACATTTATGTCACATTAGTGATTTGCAGGTGGGTAAACAGTAAAAATCCATCATTATTCGTAGACTTAGTGTAAAATGTACACCACAGAATAATATAATTTGACTCCCTTTTATCTACTATATTACCTTTTCTACTGTTGCCATACATTAGAATATATGCTTTGTAGAATATGCAATGTTGATAATGATATTATTCTATGGCTCTAATATTAAGTTATTCCCAGAAAGGGTCTGAGGAAGGGTAATTTCATAGAAAAAAACATCCCCCTAGTTTATGTTCAGATATCACTACATCAAAAAAGTAAATAAGGATTCAAAAAACAACAAAACCAAAAATCATTCATATAAAAACACTTGTGCAGAATCTAAACATAAAGTGTATTTTCTTAAATTTGCATGTATTGTGCAACATCATTGCATTTTTCTTGCATCACAATCAGAAATATTTTATTGATCCCTGAGCTGAAATTGATAAATACACTGAGAATGATAGCTACTTTACTAAAAGCTTTATTTTGCTAATAAGAATTGATAAATGATCTTAAATACTGGCATTCTTTAAATAGAATAACAACACACATGCTTAGACCTGTATGCCACATGGAAAGTGAATGCTGCATGAAATGGTTTGTTTAGCCACATTTCTGAAGTTTAAATATACTATTTAGTTGCATTAGAGCAATTTTCCCCAAAACCTAATACAGTAGAAGACTAGAATAAGAGCATCTCCTATATTTGCAGTGCAGTGTGTGCCCACAGACTGTGTGTGTGTGTGCCACGCTGAACACGTGAACAATCCTACACGCCGTATAAAAACAACTTGCACGAAGTAACACAGCACGTTCACCAATGTGGCATGGAACTTTTATTCAATATTCATGGTGCGTTTGAAGCAGGAAATTCCGCATTTTCTCTTTTTTTTTTTCTTGGCCCGAAACTCACTTAGTCGTTTGGTGTTTGTTGAACGCCTGAGGTGATGCCATGTCAATACGCAGCGCTGCTAGGACCAGCCTTGGAGGCGTAGCTCTTCGGAGTATCAGCAAGTGCAGAACAAGGAACAGATTCACATTCATCCAAAGGAGGCGGAGGGAAACGCAGGCAAGTTTCTCGTGCGGTGGAGCCGAAGTTATCCTTCCAACATCAAACCTAATCGCAAACAAATCTGTTCTTCCAAACAGAAGAGGAGATTCCAGAGGGAACAGGTAAGCTGCTTCATGGAGCTGTTGTGAGGGTAGTTTTATTTCGTCTTTCTAACACTTCTTTGAAGATAAGATGCTTGGCATGCGATTCTAACTGCTCACTCTTTGTACAAACATAGTTAAAGGAATTGCATTTTATCATTTAAAAAAGTATTTTTTTTTTTTATTACAAATACCAAACGGTGTAGAAATACATGCTGGATAATGTTCAAGAAAAAGGAAACGTAAATTCAGGAAAATTTCAGCAACCTTATCGTCATTTTGGTTGCTTTTCATCTTTCCAGAGTGTGTGCCCTGTTTAATTGCCCCCTCCCCATTCAAACCCCGAGTCAGGCTTCTGTGTACCCAGCTCAGATCTGATAACAGAAGTTTGTTTCCAGGCTGATATAAATCAACAATGACAACAATAACACTGGATGTGTTTGCCGTCAGCAGCAGTCTGGGATCTTTCGTTGGATTTGGCGCTTGTGCGTCATTACGCACAAAGCAACACTTTTTTTTTGCTGTTAATCTACGCGGAAACATCATGTCCTGTTTTAAAAAAGGTTTTTATCCCACACTAAAGCCGGTAGATCGAGACTGACAGGAGAAACTTCTGACAAACATGCTGCACCTGCACTGCTCTTGTCCGCGACATTTGCACATGAAAATGGCTTTCAGTCGCTTTCATTTTCTGTGTATTGAGAAACAAAAGACGTTTTCGCCTAATTTGTAACTGGATGCTCTCGGACCGCAGAGGGAAGAAAGAGAGAGATACAGTAGGAGATACAGTGAAACAGAGCCAGGGATGGGCTTCATGTCTTATCTGATGGTGTGGGTGTTAAAAGGTTAATTAGCTTGAAGCCTGTGGGCTACCTGGCACCTCCAGGTGTTTTCCATATAATATAAGGGGAATTAGACAGAAACTATTGTTAGGGATTATCTCTGCTTAGAAAATCCCCCCATTAGAATGAGTAGCACTGCCGGGTGTCTCCAAATAATTGAAAGTAAAATTAAATGTGAGGCATCAGACATCTCTTCAAACAGCTTTATCAGGCTGCCTGTAGTGTTTTTTGGTATTAGTAGTGTTAAAGTTCAAGAAAAAGTAGTGCTACTGAATATTGATATCATCCATTTTGGGTACGTATCCTGCATTTAAAGTTAGTAACATACAGCAGTGTTTATCAGATCTATTTAAAGAAAAAAATAATCCTTGGATCTATTTTTATGACTGTATATGTGATTTTACATTGTGTGAACTATAATAGATACAATAACCACATTGAAATGTCTGTTTTTGGGTTATCTGGTGTATTGAATAGCCGAAAAACTTCATCATGTTACTGGAAAAATCATTCAAAAATCTAATCACATACTTCCATAAGCAGTTTTCCTAATTAATTTGCAAAATTGCCCCAATAGCAGCAGTCATTTTGCCATACCGTTTATAGCAAAATGACTGCTGGATTACATATTTATATGATCTCATGATAAGTTGTCATATCAACCAACCGCAGTTCGTGAGAATGCTACATTTCTGCGTATTAGGTGATCATTTAAGTCTTATTACACTTGGATAAGCATGTAAAGAACATGTCATGTTGATTTTAACTACTTCAGATACTGTTTATTTATTTAATCTGCAGCTATTTCTTATTTTTACAAGCAAACAGGCAAAGTAACCCGCAGCAGTAGCAGCTGAATAAATGAAAAAGTGAAATATTTGCTTCTGATCCGTCATGCAGCTGAAGTATAAAGAGGTAAAAAAAAAAAATGGAAAAAACACAGTTAAAGTGATTGCAGATACCAGAGGCAGACACGACCTTCACCAGACAGCTGCACATCTTAACATGTTCCAGGTGTTCTTGTATATACTTATTTTCATCTTGCCCTTTTCTTTCATCATCATCTGTGACTTTGTGCCAATTATCCCGTGTGCAGCACAAGTCTCCTACGCAGACAGATGTCTGATGTGGTCACATTTCACTGCTCTCTGGCGTGCTGTGTCAGGCCAGTGGTCGGTGACCCTCGTTTTAACCGTGTTTGGACCATTTTGCAGGCGTCAAGCCTCCCCGCTGATCCATGCGCACAATTCACTCCACGGGTGTACGAGTCAGTCAGGGGCAACAGTCGGGTTAAACCAGTCGTGTTCTTGGTTTTGATCTATCACCTTTCACCTCTGATCTTTCACACTGTGGCAAGCTGACAGTTAGCTGAGAGAGACATCACAGAACTGCGAATACAGGCCATGCAGGGGTGAACATGTCAGTGGTCCATCAAGCTCCAAAGAATCTTGCCTCTTATTAGCATGCCAGTGTGCGCTCCACTGCTACTTCTCTAATCTGTCACTTCACTCTCTGCATACATGCACCCCGAATTTATAATTGTGCGCATGTGTTCCTGTGTTATAAGATTCAGATGTTGTAAAAATGACGTACTGGAGGTTATGAGCAGCCTTTGTCTTTGATCATCTGGGTGGTGACAAGTGATCTCTTGCCCTCTCTTTGCTTGCTTCATGAATAGAAAAGAAACATGGAATTCATTTTTTTTTTTTTAAACATAACAAGCATGTTGAGGAGAAAAAAATCTTTAAAGTGGCATCAGGTTTCCCACCCTGACCAGTGCTTTATCTTGGAATGCCCGGAACGCTCCGGAAATACACCCTGTTTGGATTTCTCGAACCCACTTCCTCATGTCTAATCTGCACTCTGTGCTTGTAGAGCTAATGTAAACATTTATTGTGCTGCCCCTGACTGGCCATCAATCACAGAAAACTCCACCGTTTGTGACACGATAACAGAGCGCCTCTATTAACTCATGAAAGCAGTGTTTTAACAAGTTAACCGCATTAAGATTCTTTAGGATCTGGTGGCATACCACAAGTGGGTTTATGTTTTATTAGCTCATGCAGTCCACATGCGTAAAACAAGCCATGCTTTATGCAACAGAAAATTGCCTTTTTAAATATAATACCAGGAGGTTACATGAAAAACTGTGAGCATTTGGCAGTCGGATCTCTGTCAAGATAAATGTGTGTTACAAAAAAATGATGATTTAATGTCATGTTTTTACAGGATCTCTCCCAGTCAGAGGCGGTGTGTGTTACCTCCCAGTGGTCTGTGGTCCTCTCCGAGCGCTGAAAAATGAGTCTAAGCACCAGTGAGCTGGAGGACCTGTGGGAGTCGTTCGGGGACCTCAACTTCTCGGAGACATTTAGCAACATATCAAGTGTGGACACAATGGTGTGTGCAACGGCGTTCAACCGCACCGCCCTGCTGTACTCCATGTGTGTCCTCTACACCTTCATCTTAATCGTCGGCCTGGCTGCTAATGCTCTGGTCCTCTGGGTTAACATCCGCGCGCAGAGAGACTCCACCCCTCGCCACGAGACGCACATGTACATCGCTCACCTGGCAGTTGCGGATCTGTGTGTGTGCGCAACCCTGCCTGTGTGGGTGAGCTCCCTGGCCCAGCATGGCCACTGGCCTTTTGGTGAAGTGGCGTGTAAACTCACGCACCTGCTTTTTTCCGTCAACCTCTTCGGCAGCATCTTTTTCCTGGCCTGCATGAGCGTGGACCGCTATCTGAGCGTGACGCGGCACGGAGATGAGGGGAGTGCGCGCAGGAAGCTGATCCGCCGTGGTGCTTGTGTTGGGGTTTGGCTTCTGGCGTTGGTGGCCTCCCTGCCAGACACCTACTTCCTGCGTACTGTGAAGTCAACACACGGGGACACCATGCTGTGCAGGCCTGTGTACCCAGAGGAAAACCCCAGGGAGTGGATGGTGGGAGTGCAGCTGAGCTTCATCCTGCTGGGCTTTGTCCTCCCCTTCCCTGTCATTGCAGTGTTTTATGCCCTGCTGGCCCAAGCCTTCAACCACTCCTCCTCCTCTTCTTCGTCCTCCCCAGTAGAGCAGGAACGTCGCGTGAGCCGCAGGGTCATCCTTGCCTACATTGTGATTTTTCTGGCCTGCTGGGGGCCCTACCACGGCGTCCTCCTGGTTGATGCCCTGTCGCAGCTGGGTCTGGTGCCACTGACCTGTGGCTTGGAGAACGTAATCTATGTGTCCTTACACCTTACCCAGTGCCTGTCCTTGCTCCACTGCTGTTTCAACCCCATCCTCTACAACTTCATCAACAGAAACTACCGCTACGACCTCATGAAGGCCTTTATTTTTAAGTACTCAACTAGGACAGGCTTGGCGCGTCTCATCGAGGCTTCCAACATGTCTGAGACTGAATACTCTGCTGTCGCTGTAGAAAACCCACCGCAGATATGAACATTACAAAACTCAATAAGCATTTTTTGAAATATTTAAATGATTCTAATGCAATATATACTCATGTTAGAGCTGATTTGCTCAGTCTACTATCATGTTTGACATTAGATGACAAGAAAAGAAGAGAAGAAAAGCCAATCCAGCGTCCTTTTCACCGAAAATTGCTTGAGTGAATGAAAAGCTTGAACACTGCAAAAACGTTAACTCTGGTGGACTGATTGAAAAGCACTTAGAAAGCAATTTCATTGTAACAGCTGATACTGAAATCGTAAAAATGTAGTCACTCTAGTTGTAAAGCCAAAACAGTGACAGTGTGAAATTATTGCCATTACTGTGTATGTAGGATTGTATTGTGCGTGTATGCGTGTGTTTGTGTGTGTGATGTGCAATGTACAGTGATAGCATCAGCAGGATATTATTGTTAATCTCTTTGTATCTAGTTGTATTTATATACATTTAAGCTGTTTCGCCTCTTTAATGTTGTAATGCAAAGTCTTCACACACTGATGTCTGCTCAGTGCTCCACTTCCTACAATGCTGCCTCATCGTCACAGTTGAGCCACTGACTGGCTCAGTGTTTTAGTCCTGCTGTCTCATTTTCAATCGTAACCTCACGTCGCATCAGCTGAACCCTTCAGACAGAGCATATGAATTGATTCTGGTTTTAAAATCATGAAAAAAAATGTTTAAATACACGTATTTTTTAGACTTGAGTGGGAGGATTAATACCACTCTCGTGTCTGTAAACTAAACTACAGAAAGCTGCTCCTCAGCTTCTCTTAGCCTACCAGCCTACTTGGTGGTCTAAATATTTCCAAACACTGTCTGGAGGTTTCAACTGGGACTACTGAGCTTAAAGAGCAGATACATGTAGCTCCTCATTTTTCTGAAAGGTATTTTATGACGTTATACCGTATGTTGTATTATCTCTGTATCTTGTGCGAGTAAAGGATGCACATGTGGTATTGATTCTGCTGCGCCGTTGCATACGACACAGACGGCAAAAACTTTATGACCAAATAACATGAATGAATAGCTTTACTCCTCTCGTGTAGGCAGCAGCCGTGGTTTGCAACACCCAAGTGTTTATTAGAGACCAAATAACAAAAAAAAAAAGAACACACCAGTGCATTACCTTAGAGTTGTGTCTGCGCGTGAGTGGGCCGAAGCTCGTCACCAAAAGATGACGTTGTATGTGTCATGAACGTTACAGTTTACTCACTGTCTGTTGTAGAAAGCAGAAAGTTATTATGATGTGCTGACATAAATCACAGTGTGTCACGTGATGGGTTACACATGTATGCTTTTACACTGAAAAGATTTCAAGTTGCGATTAGAAAAGAGTGGAGACACAAACATGTGTCTACAAGACCAGAGGCATTCCTTTGACATTGTAATGTGTAACATGTTTTGTCATTTATTAAATATAGAGAAAATGTTTCACCTCAGGGACTTCTTTGGTTTTTGTCAAAATAATCTCAAACTTAATATCCTCCAGACCAGATCCCTGAAATACAGATTTTCTTTCATAGAAAAAAAAAAAATTTGTTGGAACGAGTTTCAGAGAAGGTTTTGCTATTCAACTCGACTCACTGAATTCCTGCAGAAAGCATGAAGCTTCAGCTAAAACAAGTCAGTATCACTTTCTGTGGTTTATCACAGCTGTCATGTCAAAGATACACTCAAACGGAGGCAAGTCATGGGTCACTTAAGGAGCACTGGGTGGGCTTTTGGGAAAAGAGAATACATATTTTTAAATTATTGTCACTCTAAGACAGCAAGGGAAAAAACAGATGTTTTTTTTTGCCACTTTGATGGAACAGGAGTCAGACAGATGTTTTTTTGAGGGTCAGACGAGGAGACTGACATCAGTTTGTGTGTGTTTTCTCTTTTCTTCAGAACAAAGATGAAATAATTTGGCACCATCAAAAATGCCAACAGGCCCCTTAACCACTCCCTACTATAAGCTCAGTACTGATCCTGCCCCTCTGAGGAAGAAAAACTCCCTGCCAGTTTTATCCCTGATATACGTGACAACCCTCCACTCAGCTGCCATTTGTGAATATTTCAACATCTCCTGCTCATAGCCGGCAGCTACCTCCCATGGGATGATGAGCTCAATGAGGAACACCATCTTGACGGCCAAGAATTACACCACCACGTCTGAGCAGAAGGATGTGGTGATCTCGCTGGGAGATCTTCCTGCCAAGGTCAACCCTCCTTTTTGCCTGAGGTGAGCAGTGTTGACGCAGCTCCTTCCAGTGTCCCCCTCCTATCCTGAGGAAGTGGAGATTTTCTTTTTACTGTGGAGTCACTGTCAATTGTATCCCCAAAATATAAATCATAGAAGTAGACACAACAGTCCCCCAGTTAGGTTTTTTTGTTGTTGTTTTTGTTTGTATGCCTGCCATTTCTAACATCTTAAAATAATTTTGGGCCACACACGTCTTTTTTCTGCTGTTTCCCTGTCATTTTCAGTGTCTTGATCTTCTTTTTCTGCATCTAGCCCAATCAGCAGCTATAGACACTATAGTCTTGCTTACAAGATGCATTACATGTTTTCACTGGCAAGTGAAGGGCAGCTCAGCACTAAACCGGTGGTGCAGTCAGGCCAGAGTGTTCTTGGTTACTCTGATAAGAAAGCTGTGAGGGGCTTTCTGAAGGCCAAACTAAGTGAGTGCTCTAATGATACCCTCCCAGCTTCCTTTTTCTCTCAGACACTGCCTTGATCTTGTGGCACTCATGGGGGGAGGTGGTCGCTGTCCTCAGCCTTTTCTCGTGTGAATGATTTTCCCGACACAAGACTAGACACTTCTCTCCTGACCTGAACCCTATCAATATCTTCTTGATGCCGCACCCTGCTGATGGCGCTTTCCAGGTCAGCGAACTTCCATTAACTAACTCAGTGTTGCTTGCTAAATGAGCGCAGACGGCAGTTTTGGAGTCACTGGATTACTTCTGACAAAGTGATGACACGGCAAACAGATCCAAGAGTTATGGGCCCTAATTAGGCCCATGTGCTCCTAAACTTTGTTGTGTTGTAAGTTAATTAAATGCAAATGTATTTAGGAATATGCACGACATAAGCACATCAATTGAAGTGTCCTTAAATGCAGAGTGGAAACAGAAGCCCTCCAGAAGACGGGGCCTAAGATTAGGTACAAAATCAGTAGTTGCTTTAAAATGGTACTCAGATGATTTCACACTGTGCTCCTGACACACTGTCAGACTCTCAAAGGACAGTTTAAAATAAAAGAATCAAAATCATTATAGCAGATGTCTTGCTTTTTCGAGTGGCGGTACTTGAGGGAATTATAGTTCCTGACTTAGATGTAAGTCTAGACCATTGCTTCCTCTAGAATGTGTGGATATATAAAGTCCATGCCTATTTCTTCACCCACCTATCCACAACCTGCTGCAGCTCGAGCAAATCCGCTCACCCAAACTCTGCTCAAAGCTATTACACAATAGCAAGTTGTAATGTTGGAGTAATTAAGCCAAGCAAATTCACACTGGAAGCTGATTCAGAACAATAATGATGATACAGAAAACCTCAAGTTGATCGGATTGGTTCCTTAGGTTTGTTACGTATGAAACCCTGGGAGTCTGAATCCATGTTTTTGAGACTGTCAGTAAGACACTGCAGCTTCAAGGCAGAAATGCTCAGTCATGGCAATGCTTATTTTGCACATGCTGTGACTTCTAGCGTATAAAAAAGACCATCCTTTGGACAAGTCAATGAGATAAAACCCTTGATTTTCCCCAGAGAGAGTTGCATTCAAGTCTCCAAATAGATCAGTTTGCCACAGAGTAACTTCCACACAATGAGACTTGGGTGTTTGGGCCTCTAAAGTCAGGGGCCCTCTGGGCAGTTGCCCACTTTGCCTTTTTGGTAGTCCAGACTCAGACAGAGCTCATTTATTTGTCTATTTTTTCTATGGGTGTGTTGTATACACAATGGTATTGATCTATAGAGCTGAATCTAGGCGTGAAGGCAAGCAACCACACTGTGTTACCATGACATACAGACTGAAGATGGACAGGCATATAATACAAATAGGTTTAAGTACAATACCAAATGAGGGACCATAATGTTTTACAGACTAACTGCTCCAGCCCAGTTGGCAGTATAATTCCTGGCCTTATTGGGTTAACTTGCATTTTTCTTGAAAAATTCATGTAGTTCTTCATTTATGCATTAAACTGGTGAGTGGATGTATGGAAGGGGGTTTGGTTTCACGTGCACAGCGTTGTCTGTGGTTGGGTCGGAGGCAAAAACAGCACATTGGCTAATGTTGTAGGGAAACATTGTGGCTTTGGTTCAGTATAGATGAATACATCTCAACTGTAATGCAAACCGTTTCCTGTGCTAAACGAGACCACAATCTTTCTACAACTTTAACGAGTGGTGTGCTCATCTAAACATAACCGCAAGAAAGTCTAGTAGCGAGTTTGGATGTTTTGGTGGAAGAAAATGTTGACATTTTACTGATTTATTATCATCATAGTTCTGACTTGTAAAGCACTTCTATCAACATTTCCTCATTACGTTCATAGAAAATGTAATCCATCAGAATTACATTCCCTTCAATCATGTTTTCTTTTTTTTAATTAGTTGAATAAATATAATTTCTGGGCGATGGAGGTAGCTTAGGGTGAACAGACTGAAATACACACTTCTGTTGCTCCACAACTGAGCGGCCTATATTTTACTTGGAATGCGCTTACGCTGTGAATTACTGTCAGTTTGTCAGTTATGATTCTCGTCTGCTACTATTACAGGTTGCTTTTGCAGGACGTGTCAAACTGTTGTACGCTACAGAAACCCAAACACTCTGGGGGAGTAAAAAACAGCTACACTGAAGGATTCTCTTCTCGAGACTTCACTTCAAAAACATAGTTTCACTGTTTGCACATTTCTGTTGTCACTATGTGAATCGTAGGTTTGTGCAATACTCTTCAAACTAAAGGAAAGATTTAGAGCAAAATGTTGGAGCTTCAAAGAGCCCCTGTATTCCAAAACTGGATATCATCTAACATCCAGCTCAGCCCTTGTTTTTCTTACAGCAGGCTGAGTTACAGTACACTCTTAATGGGGGCTATCTGCTTTTGTTTGATTTAATAAGCATAGGTAATGGACCAAAGATGAAGTCTATTAATGGAGCGGGTCTTTTTTTTTTTTTTAACGGCACGATGATAGTCTCCATGTTGAGATAACGTTAATGAATTATGAATCAGAGAGGAGGTGCAGAGGTGGAGAGTAATTTCTGGATCGTCTAATGCTGTCTACAGGAGAAGCACTCTCTCTAAACGTGTTGCAAATTTTGCATATTATTTTCACACAAACACTGAAGACCCGGTGACTGAAACTGTAACATTATTTCTGGACCGTTTCCAAGCATTTAGAATATTTCAAAACAAGTCTCGGCTTGCTCGGTTACAGTGTGGCAGGAATTTCACATGAGGACTTACGGTGAATAAAGGCTCTTGAATTATTAATGAAGCAGAAGAGGAAAGCGGCAGCTGCTCGTGCTCAGAGGGAGTTTTTGGTGCGAATATAAAAAAAGTCGAAGCCTAGGGTTAGTTTAGCGCTTAATGACTTCACTACCGTCAGGAGAGGAGGACAAGTGCTGTGCCCAGATGTTGGGCAGATGTTCAGTTGAAAGAGAAAGAAGGAAATAGAGGCAAAAGACCGTTGAACTTGCTTTTGGATCAAGCAACACCAATGGAACGCGTCAGTTTAAAAAGCCACGGCTTATTTAACCTTTCCTGATAACATTAACTTGAGGGCAGATTCCTTGTGGGAGCTGGAATACATCAAACGAAACTGAGGACGAACCAAGGCTGGAGCTTGTGTTGCTTTGTTGAAGATTAATGGTGTTATTATGATACTGTAAGGGTCTTTAAGAGCCGATGGTTGGTGGTCCAGTATTTTTTGTTTCAGTCAAGAAGAGATTGATTTAAAATCCTTCAGCTCATGCAGTGTGTTTTGGTCAGTTCAATCAAAACGACAAAAGCACTTACTTTTATTAGTATCCACCCATGCATTGTTTGGGTTTTATTTGTTCAGAGTGTGAGATATCTCATACAAAGTTTTCTGCCTCCACCCAAACACAATGAAAGTGAGTCAAATTTCATTGTGGATACAAAGGGCTGCATGTTTGATCCACAGTTAACTGGGACATTTTAGATAGCACAAGCCACAAACAAACTCTTTTTGAATCCCTTGAAGTGGGTCTAGAGGCAAATCCAATAAATCCATATAAATATATAGATAGACAGATAGATAGATAGATAGACAGACAGACAGACAGACAGACAGATAGACAGATAGACAGATAGACAGATAGATAGATAGATAGACAGATAGACAGATAGATAGATAGATAGACAGATAGACAGATAGACAGACAGACAGATTATTTTTGCAAACTGGGTGAATGAAATT